TGTAGTAATATTTTCTCCAAATGTTTGCGTAACCATCCATCCATAGTTTTACGACGTTTCTTATTTTCTGGGCAAAGAAATAAAAAAAAAAAATATTTTATGCCATTCACCGAGATAACCAGATGGAAATTGAAATGTGAAACATATTGCGTTAAGATAGGATCTTCCGAAAAAGCAACGCTGGAGATGACTATAAGGATCCCACCTACACCTGACTCCTGACCTAATTCGAACCTATCGGAAATCTAACCTTGGCGTAATTCGGGCAAACCTGGTCACGAACCAGATCCATATCTGACTTATTTCTAACTGAGAAACTCGACTTCGAATCTACCGGAAATATAACGTTGACGTAATTTAAGCAAACCCACGAGGCAGCTTTTATAGAATTTTTACGGAAGCTAGCGACCTTTAAAAACTTTACACCGTCGTAAATGGTACCGCTATAACTGATCAGATTACTTTTCAATTAAACCTTTTCTGAGATAATTTTCAACTCTCGAATATAGGTATTAACATTTCTAAAATTAATCCAAACAATTGGCACGGTCCTAACGCACGTTAGGGGTAATGTTGCGCGTAAAGGAACGCGTAATTCTTTGGGAACCGTAAAAGTGAAAATTTGTTTCAATCAACCGGCAGCGTGGCCTCAAGGCTCGTTGAAACGCGAGCACTTTTCTCGGCCAGGACGATAAACAGGTTGAAATGAGCCAAGGAAAATATTCAATTTCGCATGTGTGTTTCGACCCAATGAATGCAGTTTGGAGATTAAGCGTCGCTGGGACGCTTAATTAAATGCGCCGCCGAGTGTCTCTGGCAATGTAGCCGTGTATGCGTTCGCGGAGGAAACCGGTGTCCTTTATTAAACCCTGCCATATTTCGGGTCCATCGTCGTACGACGCATTCCGGAAGCGAAACAGGCGACGATCGCGTGCTCTCTCGAGATCGGCCGGCTGCCACGACACCTGTACTACTTCTGCGAGCATTAATAGCAAGCGAAACGGGGAATGCAATAACAACAAGGCCATTAAGATAGTCGTGTGCGTATGGCAGTGCACCCGCGACACGTTTCAGATGCTCGACAGCGATACCGTGGATGGCGCTAAACTGCAATCGGCCAGAGAGGAACAGAGGCGACGGAGGAACCGGGAATCACGGCCAGCCTATATGGAAATCCGTTTCGAGACAGTTCGCCCGGAACAGAAAGTTAAACAGCCCCTGCTTCGCGGATACTTTGTTCGGGGAAATTTTTATTCGCCTTCGGCTGCTAGACCGCGCGTCGCCGCCGGCTGAACTTTAAACGCTGCCCTCAGCGACGCTTCGAAAAGTTTCGAAACTCTTCGCCCGGCGATTCCCCCGAGGATCGCGCCGATCGGGAATTAACCGGCACTGATTTATCGCCGCGTGAAAATTGGGCCAAGTGGGAACGCTCCGAAATTACGAATGCTTCGATGCTCCGCGAGTGTTTGTTGCGTCGAACGGGGGAGGATCGAGAAGGTTACGGAACATGGGCCCAGTACCTGCGATCCCGAGTTGGATTCAATCTTTTTTTTCTCTTGTGAAAATATCATGGTTGAATTAGGGAGATTCTGCTGAGAGAAACATTGAAAATTTTGCATAAGTAAAAACGATCCGAATGTAGTCGTGTTTGGACTCGTTTTCGTGGGGAGATCGTGACCGATACGTTGACGTAGCTCTCGTATAAAAATTACAACAAATTCGAATTTCCAGTATCGAATGAAATTTGATCGCGCGCGGGATAAGGACCGTCCCCGTCCAAAGGTACGCGCGTTGACGTGCCTCCCACGAGGAATGAATAATAATGCGGACTGGGATGTCTCGTTTCCCTCGACGCGAAGAAAGATTACTGTCACACAAGCGAGAATTACTCTATTTAATTCTTCTGTTCTTTTCAGAATGGCGAACCCTTTTGCTTCGACACCCCGCGAATTTAACGACCCAAACCGAAGAGGGGCACTCAGGTCTAATTACGAATGAAATCCACGCGCCGCGTACAATTCCCGGCATTAGGGGCGCGTGACTTGCTGTTAAAAATCGTATTAATAAACGGAGCTGCGCGACGCGTAATCAGGCGCGGGCCGCACGCGACCGGTAATGATTAAAAACTTGCATTACGCGTGTGCATTAATTAAAAAAGCTCGGCGGCGTCGGGGGTCGGGAGCCGGCGGAACTTATATTGATTTTTCTACTTCGCTGCCGGCTGTGACCTGCAGCTAACCCGCGGCTAGCACGACGCCTAACAAAGTTGCGTTCCTAACGCGGCGTACAGCGGTGAACCTGCAGGCTCGAAAACGATTCGCGAACCTAAAACCCCGGTCTTAAAACTCCCAGCGCTGCCGTCGTCCGGCCATATTTTTTCCAAACGTAACGGGTCATCCTGTACGCGACAGCGTCCAAGCCCCCCCTGGAAGATTTACATCGGACGTTAAATTACGACCGGCTGATCTTCGGGATCACGATCCTTTTGTGTGGCCCGGAGGAGACATCGGCGGCCGCGCGGGCACCCGAGCATGATGCATGACGCGTTTGAAACGCGAGGGAAAATTAACGACAAAGAGCGACTTATTTCAACGGGCGAAAATAAATCGTTGCGTAAAAGCATCGTCGAGCTCGCGTAACAGGATCGCGATCCATCGTCGAGGTACGCGAATGGTTCTGTGTCGCTTGCTGGAAGCAGGTGCGGACGCAGATCCATTTGCCTAACAACGAACGGTTATGTTCTACTTGCTCAATTATGCTCGGTCCCAGTATATTCGTTGCGGCGGAAGTGGCTCCGACCCAACGGCACCGAGGACTACAGTATCGTTCATACATCTATACAGTATAGCTTTTATTCTATTTAACCAAATAGGCTTGGCTGCGGTGTACTTGTTTGACCGGTAACGTTCTCGTACTACTCGCTGAATTGGATGCGATCGCGATATACGTATGTGTTATTCTACCTTCCGAATTCACCGACCGTGTGTGCAGGTCTGATCACGCACGGGATTCTACCACCGACGAACTATATTCTGCTTAGTAAATCAATGATACGTCTACATGTTCCGATAAGAACGAATCTAGTCTACTTTCTAGATTAAATGTGCACCCCTGTATTTATCTGATCGAGATCAATCCGATTTTACGTGATAGATTATTTTACGGAATTGGGGCAGTCTCTGTTAAGAGCGGTATTAGTCTACACGACTGATTATAAATAAATTTTCTTCGAAAATTGAATTTCTTTGTCCGTGTCTGATCAAAGCCCAACTAATTCTACTTGCCAGACTACTTTAAGCGCCGGGAGTTATCTGGCTCTTAAAAGTAGCGTTATTATCCTTATCCGATAACAGCCGCGATGCATTTCTGCGAAGCTTAAATTAAAATAATTTCCATGTAAAAATATTAACCTTATCGTTTCCTCTTCGAAAAATTTCTTGCCTCAAAGTGGTCGGGGAATAAAACGGAATACATACGATTGCGAATTCCACGTAACGCGTGGCACGAGAAAAATAAAACACCGGTATCGGTTAATCAGAATTTAATCCGTTTCCTAGAACACACTTGGGTTACAGAATTACGCATGAAAAACTTCGCGTGCCCCTTTATCGTCTTATCGCGCATTAACATTTTCTCGAAACGTTTCTTCACACACACCTGTGTAGATCCGCTGTGAGGGCACGCACTCAGGCGCGTCGTTTCTCTCGCTGGAGATTATCAAAGAGAAACGCAGGGATCTCGAACGGAGAACAAAAGTGAAAGCACGTCGGCCGAACTATGTTAATATCGTCACGAAACGTGGAATTAGCATTCGCGTCGATAACGCGGGCTCCGTTCCCGCGCATACGAACGATCCACCGTTCGTGTAAAAATCGTTCGCGAAGACGTTGGGAACGTGATCGGTCCTGAGGCTTGAAAAATTTATTTCACCAATTCCGGGGCGACCACGCCAGTATCAATTTCCATCTACCCTCGAACGCATCACGAATTCGCCTATGTTCAGTTTCGATACACGCGAATGTATCGCCGCGATAAAGTCTCGGTGAAAAAATGACCCGATCGGGCAGGAATATCTGACGACGCGTAGCACGCGAGCAAGCCCTTAACCCGCTATTACGGAATAATCAACAAGAGCCGTTGCCCGTTGGCGCATGAGCAAACATGTTGTTTCGAAATTAGTGCCCATGCGAAGAATTCGATTCCATGAGAAATTCACGCTCAAGTTTGTCCATCGGCTGTGGACTGGGGGAACAACGCACACTCGGGGCCACCATTGTCCACCGGTGTAGCATTTAATATTGAACCCCAGAAGTTTCCTTGCTACGCGGCAACCACTTCCGTCCCATTGTGTAATGTTTAACGCTGCAAACTCGACGCAACCCTGCCTTTAAAGGGCGCAAAAACGTTTATTGCTACTCTTACGATGCATTAACTATCGCCGAGTCTCGACGGTGACTAATTTATGAATGTCGCTCGAATATATTCCTATGGACGGCTTTAAGTATAATTAATCGATAAATAGACACATGCCAGCCAGTGGTTATTGCTAAAATAAAGTCCTGATCTGTAAGTGGAAAGAGACGATTTGTGATTCGACGAGTAATGAAATTAGTAGGGTAGACGCTCCGTAGCGTGATCAATAGTATGTATAATCATATGAGACAACCTTTGAATGGACAACACAGTCCAGAATAAAACGACTGTTGATCAGACAACTAGTGAAGTAGTAGCGATCCATACTGGATCGGATAGTGATATATGAGTAGAAGTAATATCGGCGAATAAGTAGAATAAGTCAACTACTGGTCAGACCTATAGTCCGGGGAACGAAAGACGAGTCCTGGAGGTAGTACAGGTTGTTCCCAACTCACGTGGTTCACTGTGTTATGAATGTAAGGAAATGTCGGATGTTCGCAGGTGCAAGGATCGTCGAGGGTCGTCGAGAGAAACGATGAGCGCATCGAGACGGGCCCGGCAAGGAGTGGCGCGATAATAATAATATGTGGACGACGTGGCCGCGTACTAGGCGTAAGTGTTGGGGCTCAGGCTCGTCGCGCGGCGGACACGAGGCTCGTGGTAGCCGCGACGGCTTTCGTTTCATCTATTCGGTGGTGCTGGCGGCCTGCATGGCGGCGCAGGAAGCCAGGAGCGCGAAATGCCCACCCCCAGACACGATACCCGGCTGCCCTTGCTACAATTTCGAGGACGGTCTGTTCCTGGAATGCGCCGGGGCCACCGAGGAGTCCCTCAGGAGTGCTTTGTCCGGCGTGATACACGCCGCCGAGGGTGAAGGTACGTGTGCGCTCTATGACGAGCAAATATATTAAAGTGAAACAGAGGATTTCGTTTCTGCCGTGGGAGGATCTTCCTGTCCTTTCTCCGGAGATCCGGTTAAACGACGCTGTATTCAACGGGGACGGTATAACCGTCCGAATATGTTTGGATTATATTATATATTTAGGTATCCCACAGAGTAAAGATCAAAATTCTTCAAGCTGTAGCGAATACATTTTCAAGATTTTATCCAGTTCTATATTTTACCGATAAAGAGGGTATCCTCGTTTTTGGATTTACTTTATCCGTCAAACGAGAATACCACCTTGAGCCTCGTACTTCACGATGGCTGCCACAGACCAGTCACTCTAACTTCGTTACTGTTCCAGGAGCCGTAGTTCAATCGCTGAGCGTTTACGAGTTAGACAGAAAGGTGGAGGAGCTTCGATCGGCCGCGTTTCCGCCTGGCTCTCAGATCAGGCATTTGCAGATATCGCATTCGGCGATCCGCGAGATCAGCGAGGATGCCTTCAGGCGACTGAGCAAGAGCCTGGAATCCTTAGCGTTGGTATCGGGTCGACTGCCTCACGTGCCGCAAAAGGCGATGGCGACCCTGAGTTCTCTGAAAGCGTTGGACCTGGAGGCGAATCTCGTTCACGAGCTTCCCAGTTATAGCTTCTACGGACTGTCTCTGATCAAGCTGAACTTGAAAGGCAATCAGATAATAAAAATATCGGAGTACGCGTTCGCTGGACTCGAGGACACCCTGACGGACCTGGACATAGCTGAGAATAAAATAAGGGTGTTTCCAATGACGTCGTTGAGGAGACTAGAGCACCTGACGTCTCTGAGGCTTGCCTGGAACGAGGTGGCTGAGCTACCGGAGGACGGCTACTCCAGACTAGACGCTCTGAATTTCCTCGATCTAAGCAGCAACAACTTCAAGAAGATCCCGCTAAACTGTTTCCGGTGCTGTCCGTCGCTAAAGACGCTGTCCCTCTACTACAACGCGGTCGAGTTCGTCGACAAGGACGCCTTTATATCGTTGATCGATCTCGAGTCCATCGATCTCAGCCACAACAAGATCGTGTCTCTGGACGTGTCCACCTTCAGAGCAAACCAGAGGCTCAGGTCAATCGATATGAGCCACAATCATATTCACTACATTCGCGGCGTGTTCTCGAAGCTACCCGAACTGAAGGAGTTGTTCCTGGCGGAGAACAACATCCTGGAAATACCGGCAGAGACGTTCGCGGGTAGTACAAGCCTATCGGTGGTCTATCTTCAGCAGAACGCGATCAGGAAGATCGACGCAAGAGGGTTGGCGACGTTGAACCAGCTCGCGCAGCTGCATCTCAGCGGAAACTACATCGAGAAAGTGCCGCGAGACTTTCTCGAACATTGCGAGAACCTCTCCACCCTGTCCTTGGACGGGAACAACATTCGGGAGCTGGAGGTGGGCACGTTCGCTAAAGCAAAGTCGCTGAGGGAGCTTCGGCTCCAGGACAATCAGATTACCGAAGTGAAGAGGGGCGTGTTCGCCCCTCTGCCGTCGCTGTTGGAGCTGCATTTGCAAAATAACGCGATAACGGATATGGAAACCGGCGCCCTGAGATCCCTCCACAGTCTCCAACACGTGAACCTTCAAGGCAATCTCCTGGCGGTGCTGGGTGATGTGTTCCAAGTGTCGAACGACATGGGCCAAAACGGGAACAGCGGTAGCTCTCTTGTCTCCATTCAGTTGGACAACAACGGCCTGGGCGTGTTGCACAATGACTCTTTAAGGGGTCAAGCTTCCGTCAGAATCATGTGGCTTGGACACAACAGATTAACCCGCCTCCAGGCGCCTTTGTTCCGGGACCTGTTGCTAGTCGAGCGATTATATCTAACGAACAACTCCATCTCGCGGATCGAGGACACCGCCTTTCAGCCGATGCAGGCGCTTAAATTTCTCGAGCTCAGCATGAATCGATTGAGCCACGTGACAGTGAGAACTTTCTCGGAACTGCGCGAGCTCGAGGAACTCTACCTGCAGGACAATGGTCTTCGACGCTTGGACGCCTACGCCCTGACCGCTCTCAAGCGGCTTCGCGTGCTGGATCTGGCTAATAATCATCTGAACGTGTTGCACGACAAAATCTTCCAAGAGGGCCTACCGATCAGGACGCTGAACCTGAAGAACTGTACCGTCAGCGTGATAGAGAACGGAGCCTTCAGAGGGCTAAACAATCTTTACGAACTGAACCTCGAGCACAATCATCTCACTGCCACAGCGTTAAATCGTTTGGATATTCCAGGATTGAGGGTCTTGAGGATATCCTACAACAATTTCAGCCAGATCAACGGAAACTCTTTGGACGGACTCCCGTCTCTTCAGCATCTGGCTATGGACTCGACTCAGCTCTACACCCTGTCGCCGGATATATTCGCGAAGAACAAGAATCTGGGGAAACTGTTGCTAAGCAACAACCTGCTGCGGAAGCTGCCCAGCCTTTTGTTCCTTGGTCTAGATTCGCTGAAAGAAGTGAAGCTCGACGGCAATAGATTCGAGAATATCCCGTACGACGCGTTCGCAAACACCACCACGGTCGAGTTCCTATCGCTAGCTAACAATGGAATCGAAAACGTGGACGTATCGCGGCTAAACGGATTAGTCAGTCTGCGAGAACTCGATTTGCGAGGTAATTCGATCAAGGGCCTGACCGGTTTCGCCGACGTGAACCTATCCCGCCTGATATCCGTGGACCTTAGTCACAATAAACTGACCGGCTTGCCAGCGAACTTCTTCATCCGTTCGAACTTGCTGCGCAAGGTCGAACTGGCCGCCAACAACTTCGTTCAAATACCTGCAGTCGCCCTGTCCGCTCAAAATATCCCCAGCCTAGCCTGGCTGAACGTCACGGCCAATCCTCTACTCAGGATACACGATATCAGTTCCGAGGCGAGGTATCCGGCCCTCCAGGAGATACACATATCGGGAACGAATCTGACGATCGTCACCAGCCAGGACTTCGAAGCGTTCCCAGCTCTGATGCACCTCTTCATGGGCAACAACATGATCTCGCGAGTGTCGCCAAGCGCTTTCCGAAGTTTGCTCGAACTGTTGACCCTAGACCTAAGCGTGAACAAGCTGGAGCTCTTACCCCAGGAAAGGTTGAAGGGCCTGGAGCACCTTAGATTGCTCAATCTGACGCACAATCGGCTGAAAGAGCTCGAAGACTTCCCCCCGGACCTGAAAGCTCTGCAGGTGCTGGATCTATCGTACAATCAGATCAGCGGAGTTGGTAAAAGCACGTTCCAGCATTTGGAAAACTTGGACGAGCTTCATCTCTACGGCAATTGGATATCCTCCATCTCCCCAGACGCGTTCAAACCCCTAAAGAAGCTGAGGATCCTGGACCTGAGCAGGAATTATCTAGCCAGTTTACCGTTGAACGCTTTCCGACCCTTGGAGACGCAGATCAGAAGCCTGCGTGCCGAAGGTAAGCCCAAACTTCAATTTGACCGCCTATTCTCCGGATAGATTCTCTGAGAGTGATGATCGTTTAGAACTTGAACCAAAGTAAGTTTGCCTATGTGCGTAGAGAATCCACTGCACTGCGACTGCGAGTCACAGGAGCTCTGGGAGTGGCTGCGCGACCATCAGAAGCTAGTGGGAGGCGGTGTGGGCCAGAATAGAGGAGGACTGCGGGTGAACGACGTGGACAGCGGAGTACTGAGGTGCGAACAGCCGCCTGAGTTGAGAGGACTGGTGTTCCTAGACCTGGACCCGCACGCTTTCTGTTCCGCGCCTCTAGTTCTGAAACTAGCCATCCAGGACATTCAACCCTTTTCCGTCCTGGTCTCCTGGCAGAGCAGGAATCACTCGGGTATCCGGGGCTACCAGGTGGCCTACCACGCAATGGAGAACGTCGACGAGGTAAACCCCAACGAGCTTCTCCGAGTCCATGTCTTAGGCTTTCTTAACTGGCCTCGCGGTCTACATTTTTCTTTTGTTTCAAATTTCAGATCCGAGCAAAGATCCTAGAGCCAAACTCGCGTTCAACGAAACTATCCAACCTGACACCCAACAGCCGCTATCTGATCTGTGTGTTCGGGCTGGGCAACTGGCTGGCCCAGCGCGTGGAGGATGACACGGTGGAACAGTTCAACTTCTCCAATCATGAAACGTTCGAGTTGCCGTCGGATATGCAGATGACGGAAACGTCGACGAGCCGTTGCACCGAAGTAAAGACTCTGGAGGCACCGGACGCTGTGATCAGCAGCGACGGCTCGTCGATGGGCGACGTTGGTAGCGTCAGCAGCTTCCTGACCAGACGCCTAGGCCTGATAGTCGGCTGTTGCATGGGATTCGTGGTGTTCCTGCTCCTCGTGTCCGTCCTCGGTTACCTGAAGGTGAAGAAGCAAAGGGAGACCGTAAAGAGGGAGCAACCGATTCCACCCGAGTACATCTCCTACAGACACTTCAGCATACAAAGCGGGGAGGCTGGCCACACCGCCAGACAGGCCAGCCAGGAGGGTCACAACTCGAATTTCGTCAACAGCATAGGGACCACCAACCTGAACGTATGAGACAAGTCGAAAAACTCCCGACTCGTGGAGGTTTCGAATGTTTGAGTACCTGGTACGGACTGGTTGCAGCCACTCCGAACCTGACGTCAAACACGAAACGCTCACGACTCGCGGCAGTTTTTCCATTGAACAAGACAACGCAGTCCAACGATGAGGATAGGTCCCCTCGTCCCGTGCTCAATGACAGTTCGACTCCTCCAAGTCCGAACTCTCAGAGTGGTCGCTAGACTTCGATCAGTCTAGTTAACCGAGCATTTTTTAAGTGATTTTCTACAGAATCTTAACAGGATGTAACGCGAAACGCGGATGGTCGGGGCACCGTTTGCGGCAGGAAGTGCGCGTGTGTGTGCCAGTGAGTCGCGCGAAGGACAACGAGGAGAAATTTACGAGCGAACGTCGCGCCGTGATATATCCAGAACGATGCATTGTGTTTTCCAAATGGCGCGACAAACCACTCGTTGCAGCAGACAATACGACGCGGCGGCGTTCCGTGCGACCGCGTTCTTGAACTTCCGGCCCGCGACGCGCCAAGGGGCCAGGGACACGATCGCGATTCGTCATTGTTTCGAAGTCAACCGGCGAGACGTTTTGTACATAAGCGACCTGGTTGTCGCTGGTTCGCGCGGGAGACCAGCGAAATGAAGATTAGACGAACTTTCCAAGAGTCTTCGTTTAGCAAACGTAGTTCAATTAGGACCCGAAACGTCGATTCCGCTCGTCTCGCCGACATCGTCGCCAACGAGCCGGCGAATCAAGCGGAAGGGGACGGGAATTGTTGATAGAATCACTGTTATTATACCGCGACCCGGCTCTCGATTCCCTCGAAACGAACGGGTTGGAGATCGCGCTGGACTATCGCGCTCTTTGCTGTACCATATGCTATCCACGGATGTTATCAAGAACACATTGGAAATTAGATTCCGCGTTGCGTATTATCCAGCGAATTGCGATTCAAGCGATACAAATGGGCTGGGTTCATGGCGGTATCTCGTTGTCGGAATGAGAGGGAAGAGGGAGAGAATGGTGGTGATAAACTTGTGTGTTCGTCGGGCGAGCTCGAAAATAATCGCCCGTGTGTCGATAGGTGTGCGTCGTTCGGTTGCATCGCGAAAGATTTCGGATGTACCACACACTGTGTACTGTAACATATACGTACGTCACTGTAATAAAAATGCAAATTCTTTTTTAACCAGGAATTTATCGCGACCAGCACCCTACCCATAGTTTTATTTCGTCGGAAGAAACGTGAACAGCGGTGGGGTTTGCATGTACCCGTAACGCAGTATTGTGTAATAAGCGAGACAATACTGTACTTCCTCGATTTAAAATTTAGGACTATCCCTATTCTTGCAAATGAATTAAAACCGCGAGGCGACAATTAGAGAGGTTTGGTATAGAGCTGGTATGCAAATTTAAAGAATTACTGTCAACTAATCGAATTATCACACGAGAATCTCTCAATATATCCTACATCAGATTCAACATGAATTAATAATGATCATTTGTCGCTGACAGATTAACAAAATGATCTTCTACGTGAACCGAGGAGCAAAGACGCTAAAAATATCAAAGACACGAGAATGTCTAAGACTACCTGTAAGGTTAATCAGAATCCTTAAAATACGCGATATCTCTCCAGACTATTTCAACCTGCATCCGTCCCCTTCGAGCCACGGTCCACGAGCACAGACGGGGATGCTTCGCGGCTGGTATAAATTTTCCAACGTCTCGACGAAACGCTTCCCGTCCGCTTTATCGTATTTCCTTGCAATTAACCCCTCCTGGCCATCCCGACGCCGTTCCCCGGAGAAAGAGAAGGCGTTCTGCATATTTCATTCGCCGCTGGCGCGGTAGAAAATGGCGTGTTCTGGTTCCCTTTTTCCTCGAGCTACCAGGACTGGTGAATCGTGGATCGATTAATCGAAATCCGAAGGACGAAATTAAATGGACCCGGGATGACGATTGAGACGAGGCCGCGGTCTAACGCAAGGGAAAATTCGGTAAGTGACACTCGTCGATTTCGATGAAACTTTGCACAAATGTTAGTGGAACCGCTCTAAGAAGTTTACCGCGTTACAATAATGCCACTCTCTACTTTGAGTAACACACTAACCCCCTTTGAAAATTTCTATTTCTGTATATATTTATTTAAATCTTCTTTAAAAGAAAATTATGATAATGCACAGACGAATAAGAGTATCAATGTGGGGGAGGGAAACTGGTCGGAAAACAAGCGACTGACCCTGGTCGAAGATAGCAAAGTTTGGAAGAGAATAATGGGAATTTTCATGCGAACGAAGCACCCTTTAATAGGGACGTGGATTTTTACGTTCATCGGGGACGTGAAATTGTGCAAAAAAAAAAAAAAAACGGACGAAAGCGCGGGCCGGAGTCGCTCACAGTGTACACATATTTCTCGGCTGATAGAGCTGTCCAAGCGTCTCTCGTTTCGCCCTTTAATCTCTTTTGACGCTCGCTTCGGCGAACGGGCCATCGCTGCCCGCGTTTTAAATGAAGCTCATTAATCGCGACTTAAAATGTGCCAACGCGTCCATGAAAAAAATGTTGCATCAATAGTCAACCTTTTTTTTAACCTCCGGCGTGTTCATTCGACTAGAACACCTGTTTCGAGTGGAGCTGAAAAGATCGACGATGCCAAACGCGCGTGTTGTATTCACGTTTGACTAAACTGAATGTACTTTCATCAACGACTAATGGCTTATACCGTTCCCGCGTCTGTACGACATCATAAACGCGAAGTAAATTATTCCTTTAGCACATTTTAAGCAAACAAATTTATTATCAAAAAGCGGAGAGTTTAGTTGATTTTAATGCAGTACAATTCACCGTTATGGAAATTGCAGAAATTCAGACTCGTTGAATGGCCAGAGATTTAACATGGACATAATACGAACCTAACTCGGACCATTCTTTCTTGCACTCTCTGCTTACCAAGCTCGAGGTCGGACGCGACTGAATTCAGTATTTACTCGGGGTGGTCCGTAGACGACCGTACCGACAATAGGATCTCATGAATAAATTAAAAAAGCTTGCGATGTTGTTCGCGGAACTTTTCCGGTATTAGTTTAGAACGTATCAAATCTCCTTGCTTTAATAGTATAACTTTTGGCTAGAAATGGTTGAGACCACGAGGGAAAAAGATTGGGAGTACGATGTTTGTTCTAAAAAATTTTCCTACTTTTCTGCTCTAAAATATATTCTTATTTTGTAAAGTACTTTTTGTTTCTCATAATGTCAAGTTGACCCACACCCACGCCATGTGTGGTAGGTTTGTGTCAAGATTTTGTTTTCGGAAATTATTATTAATCAATTATTCGAGTTACACGTGAGAGTAGAGGCCTACAATGACCAGGTCACAGGGCACGCTTCGAGTGTGTATTACACTGTGTCGAAAGACAAATAGTGGGACTTTTATCCACTAAGCTTCCACGATCCTCGGAAATCCCTAGAAACACATCACCTCCAGTGTTCCTACCTCCACACACCTAAGTTATACGTACCATAGCTACTTCTCGGAGCTATTTGTACGGACATAACGATGCGGGATTCCCGTGGAACTGCGTGGCCGTAGCGGACGCTTACGTAAAAGCGCGACAAACAAGACAACCTCGAACCGCGCGAACGAAGCGTGACGAGAAGAATCGAAAAACAGTGTCGGAAGAAGCCCTTTCAAGTCTTGGCACTTTAGAAGCGTCGCGCTGAAAGGCGGGGCGAAAACGAGAGAAAACACCGTGCCCGTTTACGACGAGACGTAGAAACGCGTGAAAACACAAGGAGCTGCTTTCAAAGAAGCTCGCTGGGGCGTCGCATTAAACGCGAATTGAAACTGTTTAAAGAAGCGTGCGAGTACGGAGGCGCCTCAAAGTGTGAAGCTCCCGCGTGAAACGATAGACGCGCACAGAGTGTTCTATGCGACTAGTACGGCAAGGAAAAAATTAAATTAAATAGCTTTGTGCGTTTGTGCGAGCAGATACGGACCCAAAATGCGAAAGACTTGAAATGTAATCTCAGAATTAGGATCATTTAAATTCCGTTCTGCACGCTTCGTCGAGGGCACAGCTTTCGAAGAATTATCCTGTATGGCCGGACACTTTGGGCAAAATGTCCGAGTCCCTCTGTAACGCTTTGTTCCAAAGAAGTACCGCGCACAAAGGGCGAAAAGTTCATCAATTTTGAACGGGCGACGCAGGCGGGGTTCCTCAATTTCCGAGCGTATTTCGTGAAAATTCAAACGAGTACCAATTATGCCGATAACGACAACGGTTGATCCTGGCTTAAAGTCGCCCTTAATTACTTCGCCAGGATGATTGAAGCATGAATAAGCCGGTCTACCGTGCCGCCGGCTGAATAGAAATGAACTGATAGAACCGTCGTCTGATAGGAGGAGCCACGACGTTTATCTCACGGCGGCGTAGAAAGTAATGGTACCTCCGAGCGTTCGATTCTCACATATTATCGACTGCCGTCGATGAAACTTCGATGAAGTCGAACGGCCCGGCCGTGTCACTATTAATCAATACATATCGAATGCCTATAAATCGACATCAATCTTGAAACTCTCGAGGGTCGTTCGCGACGTTTTCGATCCAAAAGTATCATGTATCCGAACGCGTATAAGGTTTCATAATTTGCTACCACGCCAGTATCGGACAGGTAGTTTCGATAGAAACGACCTCGTTGGCATCAATCGATAAGTATTAAATGTTTTCAAAACGTCATTTAGTTCCTGATTATCATGTATTCTAGTTGCAGCCCAATGGTCTTACTCGCGTCACTACTACGTATTACGTTACTGATTCCTTTGAAAGGATGAAATTGAACGTCCTGTCCTCGTTATTGTCAATCAATATTAATAATATTATTTTGAATAGAACTCCTTTTCCACAATGTTGATCTCTTCTAAATCGACTTCGTTCTTGAAACTCTCGAGTATCTATTAGTAACATATATCCGAGCATGTATCAAGTTTCCTACTCCGCTACCACATCCTACATTGTGTCGCTAACTTCATGTTTGAATCACGAACGAAACTTTTGCACTTTAGTAGTTCGACGTTCCTTTCCTTCCCATCTCGTGCCGATTGTCTCAAGTTAGAGATAAT